GAGGTAAAGAAGCTGTGACTGAGAGTTTGAAAGCAGCAGGTGTGATGTCACGGTGGAGATGGAAGCAGTGGCAGAAATGGGCAATCTTAGCAGTGGAATTTGAGATCAGATTTAAACCTCAGCCTTGGGTCATAATGACTCATTTGCTACACACAGTTGGGCTGTGTATGATCAAGCAGCCAGTGAGTGGAATGGAATTGGGCTGACATACAGAAGATGCAGAATTCCTGATTTCTTGGTGTTTTTTCTGAACTGAAGAAATTCTGGGCTGTCTGTTACTTGATGTCACAAAGGCAACTGGTGATAGATTACACATGAAGGAGACAAAGGAATGCTTCCTGAATAATTTAATTTATTGGATCTAATGTTTAAGTATTAAAAGCAGTTTGTTTGTCATTCTGGGTGAAAATTGATGTAGCACCTCCATATACCTTAAATTCCTCACAATTATTCTTGTTCCAGTCTAAATTATTCCTGATCTAATCCAGATGAGAGTAATTAGACCTCTCGATACTATGTCGTGGAAGTAGGCTGGTTTGAGCTGAAAGTCTGTGGTTTGTAGCTGAAGGAGTGAGGAAACCAGTATCATAACTGGTAATCTTCAACAGTCGCACTCTAATTCAAATGCGTCTGAGAGATGCCAATTTTTCTTCTTTAAATGGGTGTTGGTGCTTTTTCTTTAATGGACTTCTCTGTCTTGCATTTTTTAAACATTAGGAGGATATAGAACATAGAACATAGAACATTACAGCGCAGTACAGGCCCTTCGGCCCTCGATGTTGCGCCGACCTGTGAAACCAATCTGAAGCCCATCTAACCTAAACTATTCCATTATCATCCATATGTTTATCCAATGACCATTTAAATGCCCTTAAAGTGGGCGAGTCTACTATTTTTGCAGGCAGGGCATTCCACGCCCTTACTACTCTCTCAGTAAAGAACCTACCTCTGACATCTGTCCTATATCTATCACCCCTCAATTTAAAGCTATGTCTCCTCGTGCTAGCCATCACCATCCAAGGAAAAAGGCTCCCACTGTCCATCCTATCTAATCCTCTGATCATCTTGTATGTCTCTATCAAGTCACCTCTTAACCTTCTTCTCTCTAACGAAAACAGCCTCAAAACCCTCAGCCTTTCCTCATAAGACCTTCCCTCCATACCAGGCAACATCCTGGTAAATCTCCTCTGCACCCTTTCCAATGCTTCCACATCCTTCCTATAATGCGGTGACCAGAACTGTACGCAATACTCCAAGTGCGGCCGCACCAGAGTTTTGTACAGCTGCAACATGACCTCATGGCTCCGAAACTCAATCCCTCTACCAATAAAACCTAACATACTGTACGCCTTCTTAACAACGCTATCAATGCCCATCCTCCTAACCTGCACATCTTTGGACTGTGGGAGGAAACCGGAGCAGCCGGAGGAAACCCACACAGACACTGGGAGAATGTGCAAACTCCACATAGACAGTCGTCTGAGGCTGGAATCGAACCTGGGCCCCTGGCACTGTGAGACAGCAGTGCTAACTTCTGAACCACTGTGCCGCCCATAACAGAAACTAACATCATTATCCCAGCATGTTAGTTGAAGATCATTGGCTACCATGCCTTACTATTGCATCTTGGACTGGTTGACCACAGATGGTATACTACCATCTGTAGACAGACAAAGAATGTCTTGATTGATATGGTCCACCTCTATTGCCTGTGGATCTGGCATCACATCAGCACTCAAACTCACATCCACTTTCATTCCTAACATTTCTGTGGACAGGTAATTTTGCACGAGTACCATCAGCACATCTTCATAATATTGACTCTTGGTATCTCAAACATTATAGTAATAAAGTATGACATTCATTTCTACATTCATTAGATGGAATGTTACACCCCCATCCTCGTGATGCAGACGGTTGAAGGGGAATTTCATTGGGTGGGAGAAAGTGGAGATCACATCTCTTCCCCAGTAATGTTTGGGAAGGGGTTTGCTTTTGAGCCTGGAGTCTGGCCTGAACCTGTCTCTCCACTGCCTGACCTGACTTTGGAATCACCTCCTGATGCACAACAAAAAGCCAGAGTCTGGGCAATCATCCTCTGTCTCTTGGGGACCCTGGGTGTTAGTTGGGCACTTATCATTATTAGCCAATAATTGGCCGGCAGCTCTACAACCTCAGCCCCATTATGTGCCTGATTGGTGAATAATAGTGTCCTTCCTGATAAGAGGCATGTTGTACTCTGGCCAGGTCTGTAGCCAATGGGTGAGCCCTCTTGTCTGCCGCATTAAATTCCACCTGTTACCTCTCACCATCTGGGTTGGTAGATTCTGACTCCAAAGTAGAATCTGGATGATCAATGTAGCCTTTTGCTATTTACTACACTCCTATCTGAAGGTAGGAAGTTTGACCATTTACATCAGCTGCACACAAAAGTAACAGTGGAAATACGATGTCTTTTTTTAAAAATCAAATGCAACACCATAAATACAGCGATTATTGACCCAGATTCCACAGTGAGCAATGCAGGAATGGTGCTTGCCCTTCATTACTGATATTTCTGTCCACAAACATTTCATGAGCATTGTGCTGCAACTTAGAATAATTAGTCACTGCAATACAGTGCCCCGGGTCTATGTGAACAGGCTTGTCTCCCAAATCAATTAGATTGAACCATCCACATTGAGAAACGCAGGGCTTGAATTAACTTTGTGCAAGTGAATGCGTTAAAATCTAATCCACACAGTCTGACCGGGGAAGTGTAAGTTAGAATATTTAATTCAATGTAAAAGCATGCCCAGAAAGTAAAATAAAGCAAAAGAAAGAAAGACAAAGTCAAGATAGAAAGGGCAAGATAAAAAAGACAATAATAAGTAAAACAAAAATGTCCAACAATATTTAAAGTCTAAAAGAATGTGACTCCACACAGGTAAAAGGAAGTTTTCAGACAAGAAAGGTTGCGTACCAGTTTTTCTCACCACTGAAAATACACCTGATCTTGTTTGGTATGGTTAATGACTGACTCACCGTTAAGTGCAACAACTTCAAGTCCTTCATCTGTTTTAATCAGTCATACAGCATGGAAATAGGCCCTTTGGCCCAACTCAACCATGCTGACCAGGTTTCCTAAACTAAACTAGTCCCATTTACCCGTGTTTAGCCCGTACCCCTCTAAATCTTTCATATCCATTTACCTGTCCAAATGTCTTTTAAATGTTGTAATTGTACCATCCTCTATCACTTCCTCTGGCAGCTCGTTCCATACACACACCACCCTCTGTGTGGAAAAGGCTACCCCTCAGGTCCCTTTTTAAATCTCCTCCCTCTCAGCTTAAAACTATACCCCTCTAGTTTTGGACTCCCCTAATCTGGGGAAAAGTCCTTGGCTATTTGCCTTATCTATGCCACTCATAATTTTATAAACCTCTATAAGAGGTCAGCCCTCAGCCTCTGACATTCTAGAGAAAAAAGTCCCTGCCTATCCAGCCTCTCCTTATAACTCAAACCTTCCAAATGAATTCCCAAATCAACCTGAGTTTGATGTATTGCTGTCACATGTGCCGAGATACAGTGAAAAGTGTTGCTTTGCATGCTGTATGGGCAGATTGTACCATACAAGGTGCATTAGGATAGCAGAACAGAATGCAGTTACAGCCACAGAGAAGGTGCAGAGAGAGATCAACATCTACCTTGACAGTTTTGGAAAGATCAAGGACCCAGCCTTTGTAGAAAACCTGTATTACAGTACCATGCAGAATTCTTTAAATTTAATTTCCAGTTCATATCTGTTGATCTCCTCCTGTGCATGCTTTATTGAATCTTTGGAACTCAGAATTTCAGTAAGATTATTTGTTTTTTTTTCCTCAAACTTGTGCTGTGCTTTGCCGCCTTTTGTTTTCACTCTGAGTATGTTAAATTTTTCAGTGAGGTCCCTGTTGGTGCAAAAGTTGTGAATGATCAGAACAAATCAAATGGCAACTTCCTGAGTTTCATCTTTGGCTGCACATGTTCAGAAGTTGCTATCTGATTTACTGTGTACAGTTTTGGTCTCCTTGCTTGAGAAACAATGTACTGGCACTGGAGGGGGTGCAGAGGAGGTTCATGAGGTAGATTCCGGAGTTGAGACGGTTGGCTTATGGGGAGAGTTTAAGTAGACTGGGACTATATTTATTGGAATTTAGAAAGGAGGGGGAATCTCATAGAAACATTATAAGATCATGAAGGGAATAGATAAGACAGAAACAGGGAGGTTGTTTGCACTGGTGAGTTAAACTAGAACTAGGGGACACAGTCTCAAAATAAGGAGGAGCAGATTTACAACTGAGGTAAGGAAGAACTTCTTCACCCAAAGGGTTGTAAATCTGTGGAATTCCCTGCCCAGTGAAACAGTTGAGGCTACCTCATTAATGTTTTTAAGGCAAATATAGAGTTTTGAACAGTAAAGGAATTAAGGTTTATGCTGAGCCAGCAGCTAAGTGGAGCTGAATCCAGAAAAAGATCGGCCCTGATCTTACTAAATGGCAGAGCAGGCTCAATGGGCCAGATTACCTACTCCTCTTATTTCTTATTTCTTATGTTCTTACTCTGTAACAATGGTGGGTGCTGCTGATTTTGTTGCTTTTCCTCCTGCAACTTTCGAGTGAATGTACATGGTATCAGTTGCTTTAAGAGGGACACAAGACTGCAACAATATTCATTGTTTTTGCTTAGACTTCATTCCTGGTTTGTGGCATCTTCTAAACACCTTTTGAGTATGCTTCAGCCTTGTCATGTATGTCAAGATACCTGTCCTTGTCTTATGCTGTTTCTAGTCCTGTCTCCCTTTCATTCTATTTGTGTCATAATGCATCATTTAAATCACATAAAAGCTCAACTCACTTAATATAAAACTAATGCTTTCACTAAACATTTAGCTCTAACTTCAACAATAACCTGAAGTTTAAACAAGTGTGCGGATATTTTATCAGAATCCACCTACATGTATCCTTTGTATTGTTTTTCAGGAGAATATATAGAGGGATTGACCGACCAGGATCTATTACTAATCCATTCATGTAGGCAGTGGACTACGGTTACTGCACATAGCTTGGAGGAAGGTCACTATGTGATTGGACCGAAGATTGACATTCCACTGCAATACCTCGGTAAGGAAAGCAATAAGATGAAAAGACTGAATGATGTTTCCAAATTTGGGAAAAGTGTATGGGTCACCTTCACTTTATGGATCTGGGTAATTAATCATCCAAATCTTTGCAGTTGAACACCATGAAGCATGTAGCCTGACTTGGGTTGATACAAGGTAGAACTCTATTTTGCCAAAGCCAAGAAAGCTAAGAATCAGTATTGAAAGTGAAATAGTAAGTAATTCTTAGCTAAACAGGATCATAAAAAGTTTCATTGTTTACCCAGATTGATTATGCAGCCGACTGCATGCATGTTATTCTGAAAGGCCAAACTCTCATCACCTGTCAGACCCAGAATGCAGTTTAATCTCTCCAAATGGTATTAACATTAGTAAATTCCTAACAATGCTTCACTTAATCAAGTCATTACCTGTTGCTAACTTGTTTTCTACTGAATTGATCTGGTTATTTTTGGATTAAAGGTAGCAATGAGAAATAACAATACAACCTCTTCTGTTTCTGTTGAATTCTACATGGACAGAATTCAGCAAATGGGTATTACCTGAGTCAAACATTTGGTGATAAGCAATTATTAATGACAAATAGCTTTAACAACAGTGAAGTAAATACATGAACTAAAACTAGCCCCTTTGTGCTTAGTTCCAAGTGAACAGTCATGTTGTATGAAAACTTCCATGGAATTTAAACTACATAATGAGGGGAGGTGGTTCCAGTTGCATGGAAAATTATAAAATCAAAGCTGAAGGAGCAGGTAGAACTGCAGGTAAGTGATAGGTTTGATTGTTACCAGAATATAAAAGGAAGGGACAGAATGTGTGATTGTCATATTGCACCTAAGAACCGTAAAAGTGTTGGGCAACTCGATAATAGAGTAAATTTAAGAGATTTGCATCTTAATGCATGAAGGATTTGGAAAAAGGTAGATGAACTGATGGCACAAATCAAAGTAAATTGACATCACAAGGGCTTTGGACTGGTTAAAGGAGGGGTGGGCTCAGAAGAGGTTGTGAAGTTTCCAGAACAAGTAACAGTACAGATAGTATAGAAAGGGTCACGATCTAACTTCAGGCATAAGAGATAAGGGGGAACAATAATAGGGGCAGTGGTCAACACAGGACTGAGGGTGCTGTGCTTAAATGCATGCAATTTACAAAACAAGGTAAATGAGCTTGTGGTGCAGATTGAAATTGACGGGTATGATGTTGTGGGTATCACAGAGATGTGGTTGCTAGGGGAGCAAGGAACTAAATATCCAGGGATACATAAGACAATAAGGACTGCAGATGCTGGAAGCCAGAGACTACAGGTGTGATGTTGGAAAAGCACAGCAGGTCAAACAGCATGCGAGGAGCACATAAATCTACGTTTCTGGCCGAAACCTTTTGTTAGGACTAATGGGAAGTTTCAGACTGAAACATTGACTTACCTGCTCCTCGGATGCTGTCTGACCTGCTGTGCTTTTCCAAATCCAAGGTTACTAGTCCTATGGATAGGACTGGCTGAAGGATGGTAGGGGAGAGATGCAGGGGCAGTATTGCCTTGTTAATAAGCAATGAATTTAAATTGATAGCAAGAAGTGATATAGAATGTGTACCTGTGTGAGTAGAATTGAGGAACTGCAAAGGCAAAAAGACCCCGATGGGAGTTATGCACAGGCCTCCTAACAGTGGTCAGGATGTGGGGCAGAAAATAATCAGGAGATAGAAAAAGCATGTATGGAAGGCCCTATTAAGGTAAACATAGGGGACTGCAATATGCTGGTGGACTGGGAAAATCAGGTTGGTACTGGATCCCAAGAAAAGAATTTGTGGAATGTCAATGAGATGGTTTTTGGAGCAGCTTGTGGCACAACCACTGGGGAACAGGCAATTCTGGATCTGGTGATGTGTTATTGAGGCAGATTTGATTAGGAAGCTGAAGGTGAAGGAACCCCTAGGGGCCAGTGACCATAATATGAAAGAATTCACCCTGTAGTTTGAGAGGGAGAAGCTGGAATCAGATGAAATAGTATTACGATTGAGTAAAGGTAACCACAAAGACGTGAGGGAGGAGCTGGATGGAGTTGATTGGAAGGGAAGCCCAGCAGGGAAGACAGTGGAGCAGTAGTGGCAGATGTTTCTGAGGGTAATTTGTGAGGTGTGATAGAAATTCATCCCAAGGAAGAAGAAAATATCAAGGGGAGCATGAGGTAACCATTGTTGACAAGGGAAGTCAGGAACAGCGTGAAAGCAAAAGTGAAGATTAGTGGGAAGCCAGGGGATTGGGAAGCCTTTAAAAATCAGCAGAGGATAATTGAAAACACAGTAAGAGAGGAGAAGATGAAATAAGGGTAAGCTAGCTAGTAATGTAATGTAAGATTGCAAGAATTCTTTTAGATATTTAAAAGGTAATAGAAAGAGTGAGTGGGAAAGGCAAGGGTGAACATTGGGCTGCTGGAAAATGAGGCTGAAGATCTCATAATGGGCAGAGGAACTGAAGAGACATTTTCAGTGGTCTTCATGGTGGAAGACACCAGTAACATATCAGAACTTAAAGAGAATTGGTGGTGAGGTAAGTGTAATGGCTGTCACTACGGAGAAGGAGCTGGGGAAGCTGAAAGGTATGAAGGTGGATATATCACACGGATCAGATGGATTACACCTCAGGGTTCTGAAGGAGATTATGGAGGACATTGTGGAGGCATTGGTGGTGATCTTTCAGGAATCACTTGAGTCAGGGAGCGCCCCAGAGAATTGGAAAATGGCTAATGTAACACCCTAGTTTAAGAAGGGAAGGAGGCAGAAGACGAGAGGTTATAGGCCAGTTAGCCTGACATTAATTTAACCTTAGTCTTAAAATTGGTGCCCCTTTATTCTGAGACTATGCCCTCTGGCTATAGACTCTCCTATGAGGGGGAATATCCTCTCAGCATTTACTCTGTCAGGTTCCTTAAGAATCGTATACATTTCAATGAGATTATCTCTCATTCGTCTAAACCCCAGCGCGTAGAGTCCAAACCTGTTTAGCTTTTGTTCGTAGTAAATCTACCCATACCGGGGATAATCTTAGTGAATCTTCTCTGCACTGCCTCTAATGAAATGATACCTTTCCCTTAAATATGGGGAGCAAAACTGCTCACAGTACTCCAGATATGGTCTCCAACACCTTGTACAGTTGCAATAAGACTTCTCTATTCTTATACTCCAAACGCCTTGAGATAAGAGCCAATATTCCATCATACTTCCTGATTATCTGCTGCAACTGTGTGCTAGTTTTCTGTGTTTCATGCACAATTCCCCCCCCAAGTCCTTTTGTGTTGCAATTTTCTGTAGTTTTTCTCCATTTAAATAATACCCTTCCAAAATGAACAACTTCACATTTTCCCACATCATACGCCATTTGCCAACTTTTTGCCTGCTTACTTAACCCATCACTATCTCTCTGTTAACTATTTGCATCCTTCTCAGAACCTGTCTTTCCAACTATTTTAGTGTTGTCGAAAATTTGGCTGCAATACATTCACTTCTTTCTTCGAAGTCATTAATATATGTTGTAAACAGTAACGGACCCAGCACTGATCCCTGTGGAGCCCCACTGGTCATGGGTCGCCATTTTGAAAAGAACCCCTATCTTCACTTGCTGTTTCCTGCCCATGAGCCAATTCTCTAACTATGTCCAGACACTATCTCCAATACCAGGGTCTCTTGTCTTATGACTTAACCTTTTGTGAAGGTATCTTGTCAAACGCCTTCTGCAAATCCAAATATATCTCCTGGTTCCCTCTATGCTCTCTGGTTGAGATTTCCTCAAAAATCAAGTAAATTATTCAGACACAATTTCCCTTTCACGAAGCCATTCTGACTCTGTTTGATTAGATTATGATTTTTCAAATGATCTGCTCTTACTTCCTTCATAATTGATTCCAATACTTTTCCAATATTAAATGTTCAGCTAATCAGCCTATAATTACCCACTTGTTGTCTCCCTCCCTTTTTAAAATGGGGCTGTCACATCGGTAGTTTCCAATCCTCTGGTACTTCTCCAGAACCTAAGGATGTTTGCAAAATTACAACCAATGCATCCACTTTCTCTGTAGCTACTTCTTTTAGAATCCTAGAATGCAAGCATCAGGGCCAGGGGCTTATCTGCCTTTAGCCCCATTAGTTTGTCTAATATTACTTTTCTAGCGATGGTGATGGTACTTAATTCTGTCCCTGTATTCTTTAGTAATAATGGGATGATCGAAGTATCTTCCACCGTAAAGACAAATGCAAAATATCTGTTTAACCCCTCTGACTCCCAAAACTGTCTCCCCATACTCATTTTCTAACTGGTCTTTGTTCACTGTGACCTCTCTCTTCCTTTTTAGAAATTTAAAGAAGCTCTTATTATCATTTTTCATATTCCCCGCTAGTTTGCCTTCATTTTTCTCTGTGTTGATTATCTTTTTAGTCCTCCTTTGCTAGATTCTGAATTTATCCCAGTATTCACAGCTGCCAGAAATACACCGTAGGAACAGGAGTAGGCCATTCTGCCCCTTGATGGTAGCTGGTTCCCAGTCTATTTCAGGCACATCTATGGAGATTTCCAAATTCTCAGCCAATTAAAGGTCTGGAAGCAGGCTGATGCTATAAACAGGAATACCGAGGTGGGGGGCTGCTGGTGGTGTGGGTTCCAGTACTGGAGGACCAATGGGAGACCATCCAGCCCTGAGATCAGCAGGAAATCTCCTGTCAGATGAGAGAAATCGATCTGATGATTGAGACTGTGAGGCATCAGTGAAAGTAAAAGTCAATTTTGATGTTTTAAAAAGTCACAGGTACCTGATCATGATCCTGGATGGCAATGGTCAGTGGTTACTGCTGTGGCTGGGGTGTAATTATGGATCGGAGATCACCATCCTTCATGTGAACCATAAGGCCACACCAGTCTGAGCCCCACATATTCCCAGGTTAATGTGGGTTTGCTGCATTACTGACTGATAATTCCGGTAGGCATGGGAATTGGACCAGTTAACAATA